TTTAGGGCTAGAGACTGGGGATCCTCGGCGGGAGGGGGATTTTTGGATTGAGTTGGAGGGAGGCTAAGGCTTCGAACAGAGAGGCTTACCTTAGGGTTGGGTATTAGGTGAGAAGGCAGCGACAACTCTGAATCGACGGGGGTGTGTTCAAAGTTTGTCGAAGTGTGCAACGTCGGACTCTACTCACCCGATGCTTCAGGTGCCGTGATAGTGTCGCCGCGCCTCTTGAAATTCTTCACTGGACCTCTTGAAAGTTGTCTTTCTGTTAGTCTTATGCTTAATTCGCGACACGGTGGAGGGTTAAGGGTTAGGGTTTGCTTTGAGCATAAGAAAGAGAAGAGAATGGGGAAATTTAAGTGCACAAGAGAGATGGTTGGGAAGAGAGGAAGTGCGACGAGAATGTTGAGGACGTGGGTTCTAAAGAAGAAACAGATCACAAAAGTAAGGGATGAATCCCTTCCCACAATTTTTTTTCCAAATTTTAAATATTCCCTTCTAAAACCATTAATTTCCAAATCTTTTCCAATCCTATTTCCCTTCCCCAAAACTGTAATAATTACTAACCTTTCTCCACAAATTAAATTAGTCGTTTTTTCCTTCATGATGCCCTGCATGCCTGCCACACATGCTGGCAACACCTTAAAGCTCCCACCTGCCCTCATTCTCATCTCATCAATCCCGTCATTACTGCCTTCCACTTTCTTTTGTAACCTGCTCATTTGACTGATTTCAACATTTTCCCCTTGCAAAATAAAATTATACTAAAATAAATCACAAGATTCCAAAGTAGATAAACCAAATAAACAAAATCACAAAATTAAAAATACTGGCGCAATAAAATGATTTCGCAGTGCATCATGCGCCAATTGATACGAATATTCCGAAACACCTACTAGTCCTAAAACGAGTTGCGCCAACCATAGACCCCGACTAACTATAAAGTTCATGGTCAACTTTTTCTTGACTTTGACCAACAAATTTTAAATGGATGCAAAATAAATGAATAATCTCAACAGAACAACCATTCTTACATCCATTCTAAACATTTATTTTTATCAAAATGGTCCAAATAAAATTTCTTACCAACCAACGAAATCACATACAAAATGATATACAACTTTTGAATTATCTTGGATGGCAGAAGCTAAACTAATATCTCCTTGAAACTCAGAAACTCAAGTACAGCTTGGGGGGGAGAATAATTTCGTAAAATTTCTTCATAAATAACTGAAAACTTCGTAAACTGAAGTAATAACATTCTAATTTAAAGTTCGTAAAACTTGAGCAACTAAAAACTCAGTAAACTTTCTCATAAATAAACTTGTAATAAGGATTTTCTTTCTAGAAAAATAAAAAAGGCAACGCTCCCAAGTTTAGAATTTGGACCAGGATTTGGAATTTGGATTTGGCCCTAATTGCCCCGGCATTCCCCTGCGACATAGTTACACCACCTTATCAACCTGCTATAAAAACACATTCTAAAAACGTGTAACACATTCTTCTTCAATCATAAAACAAGCTACAGAAAATTCAACACACATGTACCCATATTCTATTTTGCTCTACTGGCATAGAGTAATCTCAACACTATAGAAACATATTCATATAGCATACGAGTAATCACATGGGATACAATAACATGGTGGTTTGAAAACTATTCTCATAAATTGTTCTAAAATTTTTTTCTTCTTTTTTCTAAGAACTTTTCTAAATTTCTCAAATCATTTCTAAAATATTTCTTTCTAAAAACATTTCATATGATTCTACAATCGTTTTCTGAAATCTTTTTCTAAATACAATTTCATAGCTTTCTCAAACATTTATCTGAAATCATAAAACATTCCTCAATTCTAAGAAACGTTTCTAAAATCATTCTTTGTAACACATTTTCTTTCATTTTCAGTAGAAACGATAAATCATACGTAATATATAATTTCTCAGAAATTCTATAATCAATATATTTAAAAATATTTAATAAAATAACCACTCACAAATCCTTCAAACCAGGTCGTTCGCGGCTCCAATTTCTATCTGACCTGAAATATATTAATCCAATAACAAATTAATTCATGCTTTAATTGAATATAATTCCAACATACTCTTGTTCCCAATATAAATCATATTATCTTCCAAACTACCCCATATATCAAATTTAATAATTGATTCTCTCTCTTCATTAAAATCCATCACTTTCTTTTTTTTCTTATCACCTTACACATGTGGGACCCACAAATGCAATTCAATTTCTCCTCCTTTAAACTTCACACGTGTAAGCCTCCAATTTTCAACAATTTCATTTTCCTTCTCATTTTTTACAATTCTTCTCTCTCTTCCACTCAACAATCTTCTTCTTTCGTCAAAACTCATCCCACCTTCTTCTTTATCTCTCTCTATTCAATTTTCTTTCTATCATTTCCATGGTTAATTTCTACCACCCTTATGCTACATTTAGTTTCTCCATTTTAGAGCCATTATTCCCCTTCAAATATCTTTTCAAATAGTTGGGATTTTTTTTTCGATATAGAACACTCATGTCGATAAAATGATTTGAACCCTTTTTTTTTAATATTTTATTAGATTTTTTTTTGTAAAAAACTGGAAAAATGAGGATTTTAGAATCTTTATAATTGATTGTAATAATGGAAAATAGGACCTTAACAAGCTCATAAGTAAAAGCTTAACTCAAACTTCTATGGAAGTCTAAAATCTACCATCTCCAAGAAACTTATTGAACATAAAATAGAACAACCCATAAACCCTTATTCACTTTCTATTCTTCCAAAATCATCCAAGAAAACAAGTTTAGTTACCAAGTTTTGCTCATTTCAATAGTTGAAATATTCAGTTTTACCTTCAAATACAGGATTCCCGGCCTCTAATCCTCAGAAATTTTGTCAAAACCCTGCTCTCCCTAACTTGCTCTAATCTTTCCCTTCCTCTTCGTTTCTTTCCCCTCTTCTTTTCTTTTCTTTTCTTTTTATTTTTCCTTTTGTTGCTAAACCCTTCTTCTCCTCATCCTTAATTAGCCACATGTCCACCCAAAACAACGTGCCTTTCACAAAAATTCTCAAATCTTTCCTTTTTTTTCCCTTTTATTTAGACCCGGAAAGACCATAATGCACTATAACTTTACCTTTGCTTTTCCTTTTTAGAAATCAAATGACAAATGAGTCCTTACATATGTAAGTGGCATTTCTGATCTTTTGGAAATGTTTCATACTATTTGACATTCATTGCAATGCTGTACTAGCTCGTATGCATCCTAAAAATATCTACTCTGAAAAACCTTTGTCGTTGTGTGTTGCCTTCCAAAATGCCCACCATATGGTGTTGAATGACATTTAGCTAACACTTGGCGCACTTCGGCATTTGCAACACATCTTCTTATCATTTTGTCTTGGCAAATCCTATAGAGGAATGGATCATCGCACAGGTCGAATTTGCTCTCGTGCATAAATCTCTTCAACTACCGTTTATTCAACTCAACTGGCAATATCCCATTGGCAACATAATTGGCCATATCAGCAAACCATGGCTCATCCTTCTCCTCATTCACAGCCTTGATTGCCAACAATTGCTCATTCGGAAACGTGCCCTTGATTTTTGTTTCTTCCCTAGAGTTTTCTAAGTTTGTCAGCCTTGATAAGTGGTCAACAACCAGATTCTCTGTTCCCTTATTATCCTTGATCTCTATATCGAACTCTTGTAACAACAGAATCCAGCGAATCAGTCATGGCTTGACGTCATTCTTTGTCAACAGATTCTTCAATGTCTCATGGTCTGTATACACTTTCGAATGCGAACACCACTGCTAACAACTCCTTTTCGGTTGTGGTGTAATTGATTTGAGCTTCTATCAAAGTTTTGCCCGCGTAATAGATCAGATGTAGCCGCTTCCCTTTGCTTTGAGCAAGGATTGCTCCCACAGCATAGTCGCTGGCATCGCACATCAATTCGAATGGCTGTGTCCAGTCTAGTGCGGTTATTATCAATGCATGAGTGAGAGCATATTTTAGCTTATTGAAAGCCTACAAATAATCAGATGTGAAATTAAACTCCTTTATC